GAAATTCCCTTGGATCCAACTTGGTGATTTTTGGATCCTTAACGTGAATGAAATGAACACAATCAAAGACTTTTGGTGGTAAAGAAAACACAGGATCATTAGGAGATAGAACAAAGAAAGGGGTTTTCAACCCAAGTATCCTGGATGGCACCCTATTAATCAAATATGATGCAGTAAGTACTACATGGAACCAATATTTCTTGGGAACCTTGTGTTGAAACAATAAAGCACGGGTTGTCTCCATGAGATGTCTATATTATCTCTCTGCTACCCCATTCTGTTGTGGAGTGTAACTATAAGAGGATTGGTGCAAAGTCCCTTCATTCTCAAAGAATGTGTTTGTTAGAATGTTGAATGATGTCTCTTTATATGAGTGTTCGGCTGATAAGAGTTCTTATTAGCCCATACTTAAGTTCAAGCTATCCTGTAACTGGGCCTGTGTTAATGGGCCTAAGCCTGTTTAATGTTTTAAGTTACTGGGTGTCCCATCACTAATCAGGGGCATTCCAGTAATTACTTGTATCTTGTACTACATTCAAATATAAATAATAACATGGTCAACTGGCTAGGTCAATTCGACATTCCAGCATCTCTTCTTCTTCTTCTTCTCCTTTCTACTACTTCGGCTACAGTAGTTTAGCTTTCAGTGTTCAAAGTGTTTTTAAAGTATTCAGCTGCATTGTCCGACCTGAATTATTTAACTTTCTTTCCAAACTGGGTTCCAACCATCTTACAAAACATCATAGTGATTCTAGGAACTTTCTCACATTCTTTCATAAGATAAACCCAAGTACACCACGAGAAGTAATCAATAAAACTGATAAAATAGTAATAGCCATCCATAGAAACAATGGGTGAAGGACCCCACACATTAGAGTGAACTAAATCAAAAAAGGTAGTAACATTACTAATAGAACTTAGATAGTTTGCCTTACAGTGTTTTGCCAACTAGCACACACCACAAATTAGACTTTAAACAGATACATTTTCAAAGAGTTCTGGTAACAAAACTTTCAACAATGAGAAGGACATATGACCTAATCTAGCATGCCAAGTGAAAAGGATTGTGTTTGGCTTCTTGTTAGTGCTACCACTAGTAGAAGCCTTTAGAATTGAGTTGGCATCATCATCAAGGTAGTAGAGGCCACTAGCTTCACGACCACTCCCAATCGTTTGCCTCGTCAGCTGGTCCAAGAAAATGAGTGGGAAAAAAGGTTACAACACAATCTAGGGTTTTGATTATTTTTTAGACTAAAAGTAAATTAGTGGTGAAGTTTGGAAGATGTAGGGCAGGTTTGAGAAGAATTCCCTTTCTTAGTTGAATGTCTCCCTTTCCAGAAACAATGGAAAGAGAGCCATCAGAAATCTTTACCTTGTCATGCCCAGATGAGAGATTGTAAGAAGTGAATAAAGAAGATGAATTTGTCATGTGCTCAGAGACTCCTAAGTCACTAACCCAACAGTTTGATGAAGATGACTAAATAACACTAAGGGAAGTTGTTATACCTGTCCTTGCAAATTGGGAGGAAGCAATGGATGATTGTTTCAACCAAGCCATAGCCTGGTTGAGGATATCTACCTCTACGGCTGTGAACTCTGGGAAACTATTTGGTGAAGTAGTGGTTTGTCCCACTTTGGAAGAGCTGGTACTGTTGCCTTTAGAATCTCCATCTATAACATTTGGGTTGGCAACATAGCCTGAACTGTAGTTGGGACCCTTGTTTGGCTTCTTGCCCTTCCTCAATGCTGTTGGTTTCAAGTGTGGATGGAGAATCCAAAAAGTATCCTTAACATACCTCTCTCCCCCACAATGTGAACACTTCAAGTTCTTCTTATCAGTCCCTTTCACACCCTTAGAGGTGCTGGAAACAAGTGTAAACTGCTCACTAGATTGAAGTGGAACACCGATTCCCCTTTCTTTCCTCCTCATCTCCTCATTCCTAGTCAGGTAGAACACGTGATGCAAACCTGGAAGTTCATCTCTCCCCAAAATTTGAGCTCTAATGCTTTCATATGAGTGGTCCAAACCAGGTAGGAACTTGAATATTCTTCCTTCTTCAATTTGCTTGTCATGCCTTTCTTTGTCATTGGTGCCATCCCACTCAAGAACTAAATGACGATCAAGCACTTCCCATAAGCCTTCTAATGTAGCAAAATAAGTTGCTACAATCAAGTCCCCTTAAGTCAAACGAAAGATGTCTTGATTTAGCCTGTAAATCCTTGCTATATTTTTCTTTTAACCATAAGTGTTGTACAGTTTCTCCCAAATCTTGTAGGTTGTTGTATAATGTTGAACAGTCCTCGCAATTTTGGGAGTCATAGAAGTCATCAACCATGACACCACAGTTGCATTTTCCCTACACCAAGTCCTATAATTTGGTTCATCTTCCTTGGGCTCCTTAATATTCCCATCGATGTAGCCTTTGTAGTCCATGACTCACTATGGACCATCTTGTCGAAATGGCCTATTCCCTATAGTTGTATTCATCTAGCTTCACATTAGCAATTTGCACCATAGGATTTCCAAGGTGAATAACATTGTCAACAGTCCTAGAACCTCCAGAGGATACCTCACTAGTACTGGAAGACATTATGAACTCACTCGAAGTAATACCCTGTAGCAAGTAGTCGACTGCTACTTGTTAGTAGTCGACTATTAGACGAAAAGATTTCTTAGTAGTTGACTACTAACAGTAACCTGTTGTTAGTAGTCGACTACTACACGAAGAGATTTCTTAGTAGTCGACTACTACCTTAGCAGAACTCAGAACAACAGCAAGAGAAAAGAACTAACAGCACTCCCCTTTACTCAAGCTTCCCAAACAAGTTTGGCTAGACTGTGAACTAAACTCTTGGACTGATACTACTGGAAGTCCAGTGGCTAGACCTGTTAAATAGGTCTTTCTAGTAGTCCATACGACTACTCTACAGTTTCTTGCCCTACCTGGGCATACCAGCAACTATTCTGGGTCTCCTTGGAGTTTTTCCAAGGACAAACCCCAAAAAACCTTCAGCCAACCACAACCAGCTGAAGAACTCCTTGTTAATCCAACAATAAAAGAGAAAACTTAAGACGAAAAATGAGGTGAAGAAGATAGGCCAGCAGAATGAGATCGACTTGATGCTCCGATACCATGTTTGTATTCTGATTCAAGAAGAAGAAGAAATTTAGAATAGGACAGCTTAACTCTATCCAGCCCATCAAACTGATATTTATATTAGGGCAACACTAAAACACATAAGGTTACAACTTTACCCCCCATTAGTAAGGGATGGAGTAACATAAAATAAGGAAGCCCAAGTCCATTAACACTTAATAACATAAGTATAGCACAACACAATACATAATCCTGTAAGAGCAGCAAAAGGAGCTCTACTTTCACAGAGCTGGCTTCACCTATTGGACCACTGTAAACTCAAATTAACTCGCCCTTAAAGGACTTTATGACCCCCCAATACCAGCAGGGCCAGGGTTAATGAGCTGCCATCAAAGAATAATCTTAATTCTGTGGAGTTGCAGCACAAAGGTCTGCACTGATGCTGCACCACTGGAGAAGAAGATAAGAGTTGAGATAAGTTTCTGTCAAGGTCAATCCAAGAGACGCCAGCAAATTCTCTACAGATTGAGGCCCAGGATTTGCACAGATTGACAATTCTAGATTGAATTTCCTGAGGCAACCTGAACCTATTTTCGAAGATTGTAAGATTCCTCTCTTCCCAAATTCCCCATATAACTGCATGAGGGATAAGATTCCAGAAAACTTTTCCCCTTTTACCCAAGCCCCCACACCTCCTTTGCCAAAAAAATCAAGAATGTGCCAAGGGGTGACCCAAGAGAGGCCAACCAGAGAGAAAATTTTACTCAAACTCCCACTCATCAAAATGTTAAAAAGTGTAACATATCTTTGTAATATACACATAACCTTAAGTGGATTATCCCATTTAGATTTCTTAGGCTACAAGATCAACCAAACAGAAAATTTTTGAGTAATCAATCTGTTAGTAGTTCTATGAAGAAAAGACTACAGATTGAATAGTTATAGTTCCACCCCTGCTCAACGCATGTACTAGAAGGACATGGTTTGAAGTCCCTATGGTCTACCTATAAATACCTTGGATATCTTATAAATATGATAGAAACAGCATAATGTTAGAAGCCATCTAAATAGGATATATTAATATTTGCAAAAAGCAACAAGGAAAAGTAAAGATTTCATCACCAAAACAAAGATAGATAATACCAAAAGTTGTCAAACACATCAATTACCCAAGAACAGAAAGACATCAACTAACCACATAGCAATAAGGCCAGTAAATTCTGATCGCAGAAAAGCTAGTTACCTTCTCTGAGACTGCAAATGCTGCCTGCACAGGGGTCATTCCTTGAAATGGAAGCAGCGCTGTTGTGAGCTCCCAAAGCACAATGCCAAAGCTATACACATCAACTTTCTTAGTATATTGTTTCTCCTTGATCATCTCTGGGGCCATCCAACGGTAAGTACCCATGTTTCCTTTAGATGCTCGGCACTGTGTTTCCAAACATGAAGTACCAAAATCTGCCACCTTAACCCGCATCTCATCATTCAAGAGTAAATTGTTGGATTTCAGGTCTCTATGAATCACTCCTTGTGAGTGAAGGTATTGCATGCCTCGAGAGATATCAAGAGCTAACCTTAAAATTGTTTCAATTGAGAGGGAGTAAGGTTCCTTCTTGTTGAGATACATCCTAAGAGTTCCTTGAGACATGTACTCTGTGATGATGCAGTACACAGGAGGCCTTTTACAAGCTGCAATGAACTGTAAAAGAAGGGTGACATCACCTCTGTCACAAAACAAAACAAAAAAAAAAGTCCAACATTTTAAAAAGTGAAAATCATTTAGGGTTAGTCCTTTATGATAAATCATAAAAAACACAAGAAATTGCAATTCATTACTTTCATGCAAATCATCAAGATGTAAATTTTTTCTTCAGTATCATGAAGATGTATATGTTGCATAGACAGATCTAAGATGACTCTTTTTGCTTTTTCAGATCCTTATGGTGTCCAATATATAGAATCTAGTTGTACATAGACTATATTTGTATATTTGTATATGTGTATATGTGTATATGTTAAGTAATAAATTATACTTTACCTTTCCAAAAATGTACAAACTTGACAAGATTCTTCTATTCATGGTTAAACTGTTAAACACAATCAATTTCTCAAATTATTTTAGAACTCCAGCATTCATTCCTATAGGAAACTTCTAAATTCACTACTGGATACCTCGTCTCTGGCTAGTTTTAAAGAAAGCTCCAGGCCATATTTCACATAAACAAGATCAAATAAGATAATGAAGGACAACTTGGATAAGTTCCTTTACATGAAAAAAATATAAGAACTTGTAATATCCACATTGTTTTCATACTAAACATATTCAGCTGGAATCTTCAGGACACTACAAAAGACTACTTGTAACATTGAAAAGATAAGCAACAATTGTTGGTCTGGTCTGGAGATGGAGAGCAGATGGTATTCTTAACTGGCAGAATATTTATCTGCTATTTGAGAGGAAAACTGGAATTGAAAAATGAAGGATTGCAATGTGTACATCAAGTACGGAAATACTTTAGGCTTAGTTTGGGAAGAGTACAAATACAAATATGTACAGTACAAATACAAGGTTTATAGATACCATATACAAGGTTTTGCAATGAACATATTTGCATTTTCAGAGTACAAATACAAATATGTACAGTATAAACCTTGTATACTGTATTTCTAAACCTCACATTTGCACCATACATATTTGTATTTATAATCTTCCCAAACTGAGCCTTAGGGACTCCTATAATTGAATCTCTGTGAGCTAAAAGGATGCTTGCTAACCTTAATCAAGGAACCTTCAGGACCCCGCCAGATTCTTCAGGGATATGGCACCATGTTCTAATAACAGATGCCAGGTAAGACCTTAATCATATGGAACTCGTGTACCAAGCATCATATTATTAAAATAGCACATAAGAATATGCTTGGCACCAAAGTTCCATATGATAAGGAGGTGAAGGGTCTACAGAAGAATGTTGTGACAAAGAATCTCCAGAAAGTACAATTTTTACAAGTTCCAAATGGCATGCCTTCACTAATTGGTCTAAAGCTATCAATGAACTAAATTCAAGCTTATTCACTTATTAACGTGTGGCTGACAGAACAATTAGTGCAGACTTATTCACTTTTCATGTGTGGCTGACAGAACAAAATAGGAATCCATAAATCAAAAACCAGGCAATCAAAACAGACTTATTCACTTATTAAATTATTTATTGTATGTGTGTATTTATTGACAACATAATGAAACTCTGCCAGTGTAAGTTTGTCCTACATCGCCAGTTCCAAGCCCAGATAAAGGAGAGCTTGTCAGGTTAGCAGCTGGTACTAAAACTTTTGCCGAAGTCTCTTGATCATGGATCCTGATTTTGGCATTAAACAGAACGAAATGGCAAAACAGGATTCATGTGGCCAACCCCATATAGTTGGGATAAGGCTTGGATGATGATGACAATGATGAATCAACAGAAATACAGAATGAAGGACATTCATTATCAGAATAAAGCATGCCATCCAAAACATAGATAGCAGGAACAAGAATAGAACAGCTTTAAGCTGACCCAGCTATTCTCCTTTTCATCATGACCATTTACAAATCATCTCCAGATCCCAGACTTCTCCAAACCAGACTTTACCTTGACACCCCAGATTTAGCTAGGACATCAGCTAGCTCATTTGCTGACAATGGAATCCATCTGAACAAGCAATTCAGACTTTTTCCTAATGTCTGAGCTTCTCTAACTATGAAAATGAATTTCCAAGGAGCCACTCAGCCACTTTTTCTATACTCACCCATAAATTGACTACTCGACAATACCCCCTCTATAAATATGTTTCTCCATTTATTCAATGCCCACAACTTTAAGCCTTGAACTACAGCCAATATTTCAGCCCTTAAAGATTTACCATGCCCTGCTGGTCACAATAAACTAAGCAGTATTCTACTTCATCCCTTATCATACCTCCTATAGATTCACCCAGGTTGACAAGGCTGCACCCATCAAAAATCAATTTTAACCAACTAGCTTCCAGAGGGCTCCAATTCTCTATTATTGGTTGTTTCCAACTTGTTAGTCCTGCTACAATTTGATTATTTATGTTAGAGTTAGCCGAATAAGGGTAGATTAGTCAACTCACCTTGGTTAAGTTATGAGCTTATGTGGCAGTCTTATTAGAGGTTCTCTGTCCCATACTTAAGTAGGGGCAGTTTAGTCCTTGTACATTTTAATTAGAAGCCTAATCACTATTAAGAGGTCGACTGATAGGGTTTAGCTATCAGGTTCGACAGTTCAGTAGAAACAATTTATTTACCATAGAAACGTAAATAACTTAAAAACCAACAAAGTTCTGTTACTGGCCTATACTCATGCTCAAAAATGTAACTGAAAAAAATCTTAGATTATGTTAACTCCAAATGGGTAACTTGGGTTTAATTGGTCTAAGAAAAATAAAGAGGATAGATTCTCAGAATTATAAATAAAGGAACAAGTTTGTAGCAAGCAAAACAGTTCAAAGTTGCAAAAAAAATAACAAATAAGAGCAAGAAAGTCCAATATAGGATTGTGGTATTTAGGAACCATTGACCACAAACCCTTAAATTGTAAACGGGTGAATGGTTTTATGTAGAGGAAATTGTCGCAGGAGAATTTCTGTATCTTCGCTTATTAGAGAAATAGAAAACATGTTGCAAATAAGACAGAATATCATTTTAAAATTTCAACTTTCAAGCGGTAACGTGGTAGCTTTTCCTCGAAATGGAGCTTATCCTAACGAACCTGCACAATATTGGGATGAAGAAGACGCGAAAGCAAGTCAACTTCAGATTTGAACTGCTTCTCTAGCAAATTGCGGGTCTCCTGGTCATGGGTTGGGATCCTGACCATCTTCACCGCAACCGCCTTCTGTTTGTAAATTCCACGGTAAATCCTGCTGTGAGCACCAGAAGCGAATTTGTTTCCTATAAACAGCTGGGATAGATCTGCCGTCCATTCCTCCTTTTCTTCTTTCGATGCCTCAACGTTATCGGACTCCAGTAACATCGACCACGACTCTAAACTGTCAAATCTTTTCTTTTCTAAGTTCTCCATGTCGGAGTTTAGAGTGCTTGACGTGGAGGAAAAAGGTAGGGGCTTGCTCTTTTGTTTTCGAAGCCAGCGTGGCCGGAAACAAGTCGTTGCCATTCCTCGCCGACTTGAAAAAATTTAACTAGAGCTTTTTCTTCCCATAATTCAAATTGTCCGTAGGCAGAGAAGAAGCTGATTTAAGGACATGGATTTTGAAGGAGAAGGGATGGAGTTTCATGGGTTCTGAGGAGAGTGGACTAATGAAATCAAAAAGAGAAACAAGAGAGGAAGAGAGAAATGGAGTTGTTTTATGTTTTAAAAGCATGAGGAGCTTTGAAGCTGGTATGCCAGCTACCACAAATCAATGTCCGCATGAGAAGAGGAGGAAAAAAAAGGAGGATGGATTGGAGAAGAAGAGTTAAGAGATAAGTCAGATAAAATAGAAAGCATAGAGCATATTAATGGGGTTTATCTCTTCTGAGTCTCCTCTTTACTTGGAGTTAGAGGTTTTAGTTTGTATTTTTGCGAAGTTGATTCAAAGCATAGCATACATACACCTCTCCCTCTCAGACTCTCACAAACACAAACAAATGCGGAATCAGATGACGATGAATTTAAAGAGGCTCATTCATGGATATCTCGTGAATGAGTGGTTCCAAAGTGCAAATGTTACAAAGACAGATAAAAAGGGAAAGCGAAAGCACAGCACTTTTGGAGAGAATCCACCCGCCATTTCTTTAGCTGTTACTGTTTAAATGGTTGACAAATTATAAAAAGGAATGGTTTAGCTATGTAGCGTTTGCGGAGTTTGAGAGATGGAGGGAAGGGAATTATACCCCCCTGGACCGGGTCCGGTCGGCCACACATCTTCTAGAATCTAGAGTCTAGACTAATTAGTTTTAGTTAACGGCGCCTCTACTCTGTAGATTCCCTCCGAATCCTGTTAAAAGGGTAAACTCGAAAAAAACCCTCTTCCATCAGTAATGTAACTTTACTACCACAACTATCTAAAATTTCATATAATTCCCAACCTTTTGGCTCTAAATCCGGTATACTCTCATACCGGTGAGGGTAGGGTTGCAAACGGATCTGATCGAATCGGATATAGGCATATTCGAATTTGATTTGTTAATATTCGAATTCAAATCGGATCACATCTATAATATCTGGCAGATTTGAATCGAATTCGGATTATAATCGGATATTAAATAATATAAATAAATAAGACTAAAAATAACCAAAATATTATATATTATTAATAAGATGAGCTAAAAATGACTTTAATAATATATTTTATTAATAAAATGAATTGAGTATTACTTGTATAAAACATTATAACTTGAACAAATGACAATTTGGTGAAAATACAACATTAAGAACAAGTTCAATGATAGATATAATATACTTTTTAAGTATGTATGAACATATATATTTAAATCGTATTACATCGGATCGGATAGAGATAAATCCATATTTGATCCGATTATAAACGGATCAGATTTAATATGATCGAATTCAAATTCGAGATTCCAGCCATAGTGTGGGGAAAGATCTCTTATTGGCCGCCCAATATCATGCAACTGATTTAAGTTAGAGTTGCACAATTGATATCATTGTGCAAGAAGAGGATCTTCTCTTTAACTTGGAAGGATTTATAGTAAAAATCATTCCTCAAAGTATCAATACATCTTTGTGTATCGGTGTTTTATATAATGTGTATTTTTTTTTTCAAAATGATATTTTTATAAATATTTTTACATTTTTTAATAAATAAAATGAATAGTTTCCCTAAAACATCGTATCATTCAATCACCAATATAATACAATTTACCCGATACGAGGTCTATTGTATTGAAACCTTTGAGCCTTGATGGAAACGTTTACAAATGTACCATAAAAGTTCCTCCGTTAGTCTTTCATTAGGAAAATAAACGGAAAATAGTTGTATGCACATCATTTGACATTAGGCTCCGTTTGGTTTGTGGGAAGATTTGGGTTGGATAGGATGGGATGGTGTAAAAATTGATATTTCCATTGTTTGGTTTATATGGGAAAATAGAAGGAAAAGTATCAAGAGAGATGGGAGTGTTGAGAAGGCAAATCGCCACTACAACTCTTGGCAGCAGCGACCAGAGAAAGAGGGAAATGCAAAGGGGTGAAGAAAACAACGATCAGAGAAAGAAACAGATCTGGTTCATTGCCGTTGCACAATGAAGAAAACAGTGAAGGATTGTGATACCGTCGCCTCCTTTGTTCGAACAGGGAAGGCAATGAACAGTATCTAGTTCGTTGCCGCTGTCAAAAGGAATGGGGACTATTCGCTGTCGCCACTGGTCTGTGGTAAGGAGATTGTTCATCGCTAGTTCACTGTCGCTATCGAAAGGAAGGGGACTGTTCGCCATCGTCGCTGGTCTGTGGTAAGGAGGTTCGTCGCCTTACTCTAATTGAAGAAGAAGGCACATCCCTTCGAATGATTTTCTTGAGTTTTCCCACCAGAGTCACACTGTTTTGGTGCGACCCCGAATCTATGATTTTGGGATCTCACATTCCACCTTTTTCTCATCCATCCCCTTATTTCCCTCAAAACAAATATGAGAAAATGGAATATTTTTGGAATATTCCCTTTTTCTCATCCCCATCCCACAGACCAAACGGAGCCTTAATAAAATGCCCTAATTGATCGTAGAATTCCCCATGAATGACAACTTAGGGCATGTTTGGTTTGCAAAAATAGGGGTCTATAATTGGACATTCCGATTCTAAATGTTTGGTTGGGCGGAATTAGAATCCCAATCCCATTCCTGCTAGAATGGCATTCCCCCATTTGAGGGAATGATCATTCCTTCCCCCTCCCCTAGAAATGAGAATCCATTCCAGTCATTTCTAATTTCGATTCCAAATCTAGACTGAATGAAACAGGTGAAAGAAATAATCTATTTCAATTTCAATTTCAAAGGATTTTGATTTTGATTAACAGACCCTCAATTGTTCCCAATTTTATGATTGTAGTATCATCTTTGTGTGAACGGTTGTAGGTAGGGGAAAACTTTCGCTGTCGATAGGTGATAGGAATTCATGTCGCTTGTCAACCTCCTTGCAACACCTGTCCTCTTTCTTAAGAAATTTAAAAGTTAAAACATTCCGGTTAGATTTAACCTGGAATGTGGTATTAAGTAACATTAACGTGTAGTCTCAATTAACCTTTAATGTACTTCCATTGAATCTAATATCCCAAATCCAAAAATATTTGCTTTTAATTTCTTTATTAATTAAAAAAAATAGGAAAACTATGAAAGTTGACCTTCCATCATATTTTCCCCTTTCATCTCCTTGTGCCCCAACTCTTTCTTCTCTCCTGAATAGTAATCAATGCCTGCATGAGGGTCTCTCTGTGTGGGAGGCTTTCTCTTTCTACGGGTTTCATTTTTGTGGGAGGGTTTTTCTCTCACATATATGGATTTGAGTTTTTATCTTTCACACTCTGCGTGAGTTTTCATTTATTTCTCTTCGTATCGATCTTTGTTGGAGAGGTTCTTAGGACAGATTTGAGAAATAACAGTTTTGATCCAGGCCTATAGAGTAGACTTGGGATCTTTGGTTCTATTCATTCTAATCCTAGTTTTCTCTCTGCTCTTTTTCTTATTTCTATTGGGCCTTGGTCGAATTTGTGCGTGATGTGCCTTTGGAGTTTGCCATGGGTATCCATTTGTTTTGTAATGATGTTATCCTTCTTGATAAGCCTTTTTTCCGACGATCTTCGAGTTCTCTCCGGTGACGTTCATGCTCCAACTGTTTCAGTTTCTAAAACAACATGGATGGGTGATTTTTTTGCACATTTTATCCCTATAGTTACAAGTTACAACTTATTTTGTGCACTTTTGGCTTTCTGTGGGGTCAATTCCTTTAATGTTTGAACGGTGGAGCGTTAGGGAGAGTTTTGTAATAGGAGGTGATCTTGGGCCTCTCTTGCTTTCACGTTTTCAATATTGCCATGGATTGGGTGCCATGGTACCTGTTTTCTCTATACCCCTTGAGGGTTTTGCATAGTTGATCCAGACTCATTTAGTAGGGAGACACATTTGCTGGCTTCATCTATGTTGGAGGCATTTAGATGACCTTTTTGGCATTTATTAAATTTATGTCAATTGCAGAGATTTTTCAAATTGTTTTTGATATTTCTTAATTTTTCTACTTTGTAATTTATGAATGAACTTGCCTTTAGGCATAAAAAAAAAAGTCTTCTCTCCTTTCTCTCCCATCTTGTATAGTTGTTCCGGCCTAGACACCTCGTGGAGAATATATAAAAATAAATCTGTAAAGAGATTTCATTGGTGACTGGTAAATTTTCTCTTTCTAGTTCTCTTTTCGTTCATGTTAGAGTTTTTAAGAATTTTTTTTGTTGTTGAAATAGGAATTTTATTAGATCTCAGATGTATTCATTCACTTTTCAGATATACTACGATTAAAGCCTTAAATTTGCTAACATTTTAACACACCTGTTAGTGTTGAGTCCTCACAACAACCACCCACAGTATAAAATTATAAGGTATTTGAAATAACGATAACGAGAAATCTAATAGAAGAAAAAAAGATGAAATTCAAGCAAAGACAAATAAAACAAGCACCACAAAGACACAAAAATTTACATGGTTCCGCCTTATCGCCTACGTCCACGGGAGAAACGAAATTTGTTCTTCACTATGAAAGAAAAATTGAGAACAATACAAGTACCTTGCAGCTTGCAGCCCAAACCTGCCCTTATCCTTGTACACCCATTTTCCCTTTCCTCTCAACCCAAAGAACAAAACAAGAGAAAAAATCCACTCTCACACTAAGAGCATTTTGTATTTTTTTCTCACATTTTCTCTTCAAAAAGCCTTAACCCTACATACAAAAAAAAACTTTTATATGTGAAACCTCTTTAACCTAAAGAGGGACTATACCAACCATTAGATTAAAATTAATCCAGCAGTTGTAAAATAAGACACAATTCCAATAGATAGCTCATTAGAAATAATGTTATGCTTAAACAAAATTGGGATCAAAATAAGAATTTACTAAAAAAATTCATTATTTTTATGGTATGAGAATTTCAAAATGAAGTTATGATCAAGATCCCAACTCAAATTAACCACTAGCACTTTGTCAACAGAATTTTAACCCCTTTTCCCAAAGTTTAAGATAAATTTCTCTATTCCTTAAGACTGTTTGGTTTGAAGGAAAAAATAGGAAAAGGAAGGGAAATGTAGGAAAACCAATCTAAGTATGGAATTACATTATATTAAAAATCCAATATTGACAAGCTTTTCCATACGTCATGTGCCAACAATTCAAACATCAACAAAAAATAAAAAAAGGATCTTGAGGCCCCAAAACCACTTTTATATGAATAAAATTGATCCTAAATTGCTAATTCTATAATTCATCCACAATCCCATTTGAATATCCACATCAATTACTTGCTTATGTTTAGTTAATTAATTAATTAATAAGTAAAACCAGTGTTTTTAACCATCATTGATCCAGAAAATCAAACCGTTTGGCTCAGAAATTGTTCAGGCAACTAGTTTTGTTTCACCTCTAATCTGTTTTTGGCCAAAAACCATTGACTTGATTAGTGACCCAATGATCCAAACAGTTGAACTATCCATTTGAACCGGATGATCAAACCACTGACCTAAAAACTGGTGACCAAAGCGGTTTTAATTCGGGTCGGATTTTAAAATGAGGTGTCTAGGCTGAAACAATG